GCGTGTTCCTTCTGGACAATTAGTTGAAGCTGTATGCCATCAGAAGTTCTCTCCAAGTTTTGCCATCTCAGTTTGACCTAATCGTCTGAGTCAAAGCACTGTTATTTGAGCATTTGTATTTTTTTCACTCCCTCAGCAGCTTCCTCCACCATTTCTTTTGTGAAATAGTGGTGATGTCAATATAACATATCTCATTCCACAGCCTTGACATCTTGTTCTGATCCTTCTTTGGCAAGCCAGTATAGTGAAATCCCCGAAATTATAAATGGATCTGATGCTGGCCATTCATGTTTCAAGCCAATTGATTCTGAATAAAGTTGTCTTGAAGTTAGATTAGGCAACAAGGAATTCCTGATTCTACTATTGATCTGCTATGTAGTGTGAGACTCATGATATCAGTCATCGGTGCTTTGCTTTTCTCATCCATGAGAACAAAACTCTGAGAAGTGTGCTGAGGGTCACAGATTAAAGACATTTAATGGGCATTAAGACCCAGATTCTTCTGCCTTGATTATGTAGTATCTCATCTCGCAGTGCAAAATAGATTCATTACTCCTTCGGTAATACACTGTGCAACATGATGGACTCAAACATAACCTGATTACTAGAACATCAACTTTGGCCAATGCGAATCTGCTGTATCTTGCACATAAACTTTATTTCCGGGTAGTTGAAACATAAAATTGATCTGTTCTTGAAGCCAGTTGTAATTCAACAGTTCATTAATGACAAATGGCAGAATGCCCCAGCCATCCTTCCAGGCAATACTCCAGATGGAAGTCATTGGATAAAGAACAGGAAGGTTTGGCAGAATGTGAAAAAAGAATAAATTTGCTACACATCACTCATTTTGCCTGACTGCAATAAAGTAATTGTAATAGAATGTTGTCACAGGATAATGGTCTCCTGCTGCTTTAGAAATCCTTTGCAAAACAGATGTTTACTTTCTCTGTGGGAGACATTGATCCCAGGACAATAATCTTTTCTGTTAAAGGAAAATTAAGTACTTATAGGTTCAGCAGTGCTATAAAAAGATTATAAAAAAACATATAATGTAATAGGTGATATGATATAAAATAAATATGTGATGTATGCGATACATACAACTAATCCCTAAGTGGGATTAATTCAAATAGATTCTTCTGCCAGCTCTGCAACTAACATTTTCTCAACAAACGCAGATAGGACAATGCAATGCACGATGATGAAGCTGTTTTTGTTATTTTAATCTTCCAAGGCTCTGTGATCTGCAGAAAAACAGCATTTGTAAATAAAAACAGTAATATTAAAACTCTAGCATATAATATCTGATGATAAATGCTTAGTTAATAACAAATAGATACAAATAATGAATAAACACCAATGAAGTAACACATTGTAATTAATGGAAATTAAAGACCATCAATTTTCTGCCAGGGCTGAACTCAGTATTGTGAATTTTGCATACTAGCACCAAGACAAAAATTTGAAAACAGATAAAAATTTATAAAACATTTGTATATTCCAAAATAATTTCCTTAGAAGAGCAATTATACATTAGAGATTGCAAAAGAATTAAAAATACTCACATTTTTCTCTGAGCTAGCTGCAATACATGTGGGAGACATACATTGCACTCTGTTGTAGTAAGATAGAAAACTTACATATGCACAATTTCGGTGAACCTTATACATTTTATGGACATTTCTGCTATTCATCCAATAATGTGCCAACTGCAAATTTGAGCTGATGAGACATGTATACATTTGCTCTCTTCTGTGCTGTAACTGTCTACATCTATGTGCTGTCAAAGGCATTTGACTGTCAGATGAAGCAACCCTCTGTGGTATTTAGCTTTTGCCAAGGTTGTATCTGGATCTGGAGGAATAAAATGAGGATAATTAACCAGGGACTGAATGACTTGTTGGGTCACCAGCCTCACCTTCAGGACCTGCATCATCTCACATCTCCTGCTGTCCATTTCTATTTAGCTCAAGACATCTTGTGATGGTGGTTGGTACTTTTCCAGCTGGCGCCTCTATCCAATTCCATGTATTTTATATCACGAATCCCAGAGTTGCAGCATGCAGACTACCAACATCTTTGTAACCGGGCCAGGAAGGTATCAGGCTTGCTTCCACAAGATTTAAGGGTCGTAACTGAGCAGAATAGCCAGTGAATAGCAATGCTAAGTCTGGGTTCACTCAAAGTGCTGCTTCAGCTGGAGCAATAGAAGACTTTAAAATTGCATTTTTTGCTCTGAGTGGTGAACTTCACTACCTAGATGCCAAAGAAGAATGTCTTTTACATTCTTGAGAAGAGTTGGTTTGGTATGCGAGTGCATTCAGTTATAATAATCCTGACCTCAGGAATAGTCACTGAAGCAAAGAATTTCCCTTCTCATTTCAGGGTCACCACATTACAGATATAAAAAGAATATGGCCATGAGGGGCATGAATAAAGTAATTTTTAATGCTGCAAGGGTAACTCAGGAGTGCTGTCAAACGCTAATGATAAGTTGCATTGGGAAGAACTACTTTAAACTTTAAGAGAGGAAACTGAAGACTTAAGAAGTGTCAGTCTTGTCATCTTGAAACCATTTTTCCCTAGTGATGAATAAAATGCAAATATGCCCACAAGCAAGTTGCTTACCCTACAGCTGAAGTACTGCACATGGAACCAGTTGACACTTCGGTATTTTAGCAGTTTAGACTTATAAATATGTATTTACATTTTCAACGCTAAACTATGTGGCTCTTACCCAGTTGTCACTGTCACTGCATCAGCCAGGAAACCAGTGGAATTTGCTTCACTGAGGGCTGTACGATACGGTCTACAAGAATGCAGTAATTTTAATGGAACCAAAGCATATGAAAAAAATTAACATCTTAACAGAGAGTATCCTGCACTAGGGATGGTGTTTAGCACCGAACGACACCTTCCAGACCTCTTAACTCCTGAATCCCCTCAATGACAGGACCTTGGCCTGAGGGCAGGCAGGGGCTTGTGCAGTGGGTTTCAAAGAATCTGTTAAAATGAGGACTTCTTTAGAGGGAAGAAGGAAAAGGCAGAGTAACCATTTCATCTCTCTGTACTCAAGTACTGATGAAAATTGTTATTCTCCACAGGAGGAAAGACAGAGGAGGACAATGGGTCTGGAGGCTCATGTGTGGATTAGCTTTCAGGTGAGGTCATTTTGCATCACTAGGACTGCAAAAAGAAAGTCTCTGCGTGCCAAGTTCAATATTTAATAAAGCAACAGAAGGTAGTATGGACCACTCTGGATTTATTATACATTCTTTCAAGCCACAGGCTTCAAGCCCCAGAAATGTAAAAAGTATGGCAAGACAAATGGAAAGACAAATGGAGATTGTTTCTCCTACTCCATATATATTTCTATAGGAAAGAAAAACTTTAAAAAAAAAAAAAAGAAATAAAAACTGGGTGAGCCAAGAGAAACAGGGATGACGACACTGAAAGCAGTGCCCTGGCAAGGGCTGTCGTGCCCTAGTTAAAAGCAGCGTGCTCAGCCACAGACCTGTGCTGCTTCTGAAAGCAGACACACGGTTTGTGCTGCCCAGCGACATGCTCAAAAGCTCCTTCCTACCTGTGGAAATCTTCCCAGTCTCTCCAGTGGGTTCCTGTTCAGGCTTCACTCAGACATTTAATAGGGTAAGATTGTAAAATGTATGCCATAATACAGGGGAAAGGTAAAAACTACCTTCAAATTGTTGCCTTTGAAAATAAGTTTTGTTTGAATGAAGATAATGTAATGACAAGCAGTATTCCTTGATGGTAGGACAAACCACTGGAGCTGAGACCACATTTCCTTGGAGCCTTTCTGCCAAGGACTACGTGTGTTTATCACTATTGCCATGAAACTCTCAAGGTGTCTTTAAACTGACCGCATGGGTAGGGAAAGTTGGGAAGGAAACACCTTGCATTATCTTCAAGGGTGCCATCCTGCATCCAAGCTGCTCTGCTCTGTGTCCTCCCCCCCCTACCTTTCTCCTTTTGCACAGAGCGGCTACGAGGGAATGAGTTTAGGTTCTTCCTTCCTTGTTTTGGACGTGACCCGCCACGTTAGCGGGAGCAGTCCTCGCTTGAGGACGAGAAGAACTTTTGCCCCCGAAAACGGATGGCGACGCCCGGCGCCCCCCGGCTTTCTGAAAAGCTTTTTTTTTTTTTCCCGAGCTCCAGCTCCCCGCAGGCCACTCCGAAAAGTTGCCTGGCGGGAAGCGCCGGGCAGGGCTGCGAGGCCGCGCCTTCCCCCGGCGCAGGGAGCTGTCCAGCACGGCCCAGCCCCCGCCGGCGGCGGCGGCGCAGCGGGAGGGCCCCGGGGAGCCCCCGGCCCCCCGCGCCGGCACCGCCGCCCCCCGCGGAGCCGCGCGCGGATCCCGGCCCGTCTCCCCGCTCTCCCGCCGCCCGGCTGCCGAAGCGCAGGGAGGAGAGCGGAGCGCCCTGCCCGCCCTCCCAGCACCCGGCCTGCGCGCCGGCTCCGGCCCTCGGCCCGCCCCGCCGGTGCTGCCGGTCCCCGGGGCAGGGCGGCGGCTGCGGGCCGCGGCGTGCGGGGCTGAGCGCGGCGGGCGGTGAGCGGGGCGGGGGCAGGCGGGAGGAGGAGGAGGAGGAGGAGGGGGGAAAGGGCTCCAAACAACACGTGATTCCCGCGGAGCAGCGAGGGAGCCGGGGGAGGGGAGAGCGAGGGCGGGCGGCCGAGGCAGAGGAGGGCAGCTGCCGCCGCCGCCGCCGCCGCCTCTTTAAAGCCTCCCGGCGCGGCCCCGCGCAGCACCCGCGCTCCCCCGGCCAGGCGCGGGTCGAAGCGCGGAGCCGGGCAGCGGCGCGGGCTGCGCCGGTCCCGGCGCGGAGCCTCCGCCGCCGCCGCCGCCTCCCGCCCAGGGGCACCCGCGGCCATGCGAGGCGGCCGCCCCCGCGGCCGCGCCGCTCGGCGCTGCCCGCCGCGGCTGCCCGCCGCCCCGCGCTGAGCCCGGCCGCCGCCGCCGCCGCCGCCGCCCCGCGGCACCATGTCCCGGCGCAAGATCTCCTCGGAGTCCTTCAGCTCGCTGGGCTCGGACTGCCCGGAGACCAGCCCCGAGGAGGAGGGCGAGTGTCCCCTGTCCCGCCTCTGCTGGAACGGCAGCCGCAGCCCCCCCGGCCCCGCCGACACCCCCTTCGCCGCCGCCGCCGCGGCCAGCGCCGGGGCGCGCCGCGCTCCGCGCCGCCGCCGGGTCAACCTGGACTCGCTGGGCGAGAGCATCCGCCGGCTGACCGCCCCCGCGGTGAGTGCCCCGCGCCCGCGGAGCGCCGCGCCAGACTCCGCGGGGCCGGGGTCCGGGCTGGGGCGGGAAGGGGGGCGGCGGGGCCCGCGTTCGCCTCCCGCGCCCCCGCCCCGCCGCTCGCCCCCAAACCGGCGGGAGGCAAGGGCTCGGCGGCCCGGTGCTGCAAACGGGGAGGGGGGGCGCAGAGGCGCGCAGCTGCCCCTCTAGCTGGGTTTAGAATTTCCGCCGAGTCCCTTTCTGAATCGAAAGAAAATCGTAAAATCACAAAGTGCTTATCGCTATCCGGTACTAGCAACGGGTTTTTGTAAGAAGTTATGCCTGTGTGATGCATGGCATGCGCGTTCTTCCTTCACCACGCAATAAGCCGTGAACTTCTTATATTTATAGGGCTCTTCTGCACTGAACGAGGTGAAAAAAAAAAGTTTCGGCTTTGCGTTCAGAAATATTTCGGCAGCAGATTTCCCTGTGCCTCCCAGATGTGCTGACATTTCTGAGAGATCAGTTTCTTTAAAGTGTACTCTGAAATGCACGATTTACGATTATCCGGGTAGCCACACCTGTAGTTGAGAATCGGTGAAGCGCTGCGTGTGCTAAAATAAGGAGTGAATTTGGGTAGATCCCGTAACGTACGCTGGTATTGCTTTGTAAGACTGGAATCAGTGGCTCAGGACTTGTCGTAGTCTCATGTAAAACAAGGTTCTTCTCCAGGGTTTCTGTTACGAGTGTGCTACGTTCCTGTGAATACCACTCTGACCATCACTAAATATTCCTCTCAGAGTTTCGGCTGCAACTGAATGCTTGTTTGGTCTCTGAGATATTTTAACGTGTTAAGGTATAAAACATGAATTGCAACAAGTAGTCTAAATCTGTAAAACAACTATATCTACTATTGTGGTGTTGGATCATCTTTTTGCATATTGTTATCCAGCTTTGGAAATTGCTTATGACTCTCATCATCAGCTATCAGTTTGCTTTGGTTTTAATATACTCTTTTCCATTTGGTGTTTCTTGAACTGGCTAGATAGAAGTAGACAACCTGTTTAATGGGAGAAGTCATCAGTGCGTTACATAGCTAGTAGTTACCCGGTTTCAGTTAAGACTTTTCTTTCCCATTGATTTTTTCCCTCTCCACTGGGAATCTGGTCTTGTAATGCTGATATTAATAGATGATCTCTCAGGTGACCTGTCTTGTTATAGTACAAAAAAAAAAAAAGCGCTATTTAATTTGATAATAATACAATGGTATAATTAGAGCATGTGTTACCCAAAATATTTTAAGTATTCTGAAGTAGCTCAGTGCAGTATTTTTAGATAACCTCAGTATTTGTATTTTCCCAGCTTTGACTGTTGCCTCCTGTATTGAGTTGCTATAAAAGACAATTACATTTTTTACAGCTTTGATGAATTAATTTGATGAGTTTGTTTTCAAAATAAACTAATTGTTTAAATTAAGAGATTAGGAGCGCTTTGATAGCTCTTATAGTGCTCTTTCCTTCCTATTCTCAGAGAAAATATATGTAAGAATGCAAAAATTTCATCCAGCCTGGTTTTGATGTCCCAAACAACAGCTTCCACAGTTTCCTTGCGAGTTAATTATAGCAACCTTTATTGCTGAAAAACTCCGTTCTTTTAAAATTTTAATATGTGATACATATTGCTTAAAATTTTCCTTTTTATCATGGTATCATAACTAGTGCTTCACTCCCCTCTTACACATTTTGGCATAAATCAATGTGAATTAAATCTAAAAAGTCATGTTGGCACAGGCCCGGTATAAGAAAAGAATCAGGTCCCTTGTCTTTTCATTTTTCACTTTGAAAAATCACTGTTCAGGTGCATTGTTATTTTGGTGCAATCTTTTCTTACTGAAATTCTGTTCTGTGATACTGAATATATACCTTCTTGCATTAAGTCAAGTTACCATATGTCTAACACTTTGATTATTTTTGCACATCTGCTAATACAAATCAAGAATAACTGTAATTAGAAGTAAAAAAACCCAAAATGTTGCCTATAAAATTCGTGTCAAATGGGACTCATTTCCATTATTTGTAAAATTAAAGGACAAGTCTGAAGAGTGCGCTGACGTATGTTCTTTTTGAACAGAAAGCTTTAATACTTCTGCTATAAATGCAGATGTATCTTAATTCCATGATACTATAGATATGGGTCTCTGTTAAGTATATAAACATATATTTATGTACATACAAGTGTGTGTGAATGTATGCACTATATATATTGCCCGCGGTGGCTTAATGTTTTCCTTTCCAGCATGAATGCAGCAGCAATTTGTCCCCATCCCAGTGCTGAACATTTACAAAGTTGAAGGATGCTACAGGTTCCTGATGTTTATACTTAGCCTTAATTTTGTGCTTTCCTTCGGGAATGGCTAGGATTGAAACGCTGAGTGAAATGGTTTTTTGTGTTGTCACTGAGGAAGAATTCTCTGTGTGTGTTTAATACTGCTGTAGCATGCAGAGGGATCTCTGGGGTGATGTTGTTTCAGCGTGTCAGTAGCAGGGGCTACCGAGAGCTGCTCGGGGGGTGTAGAGAGCCTTGAACTGAGCAGGAAGGAGCATCCAAGGGGTGGAGGAGCTGAGCAGGAGGGGTGTCCATGGGGCACAGCAACAAGAAGGCTGTGCAAGCAGGCTAGGTCTTGAGTGGTAGCACAAAAATGTGTGTGAAAATATTAGTATCTCCTGTGCAATGTATTCATGAGTTAGTACAACCATACAGTCAATGGAAAGAGATTCTATAGAGTAAAATGCAGCAATAAAGTATTTGAGGTATTTTATACTAAAATATAGTGAAAAGAAGTTACTGCATTTTGTTATCACTTGTAATTTTGGTCTCAAGTTTAGTTGAGTGTGACTTTGCACAAATAGTACATTTGTGGGGCTGTGGGGAAAAAATTAAAAAGTGAACCTTGCTGTGTTGCAGCGTTTAATCCAACCCGCTCTGCTTGCTGCCAGAGGACAGCTTCTAGCACTTTCCCTTTCCAGCACACATTGTTTACCAACTTTTCTCTTAACTACATTTTTAGAGATTTTTCCTGCTGTTGTTATACTAGAGCATGTAGAGGCCTGATCTTCAGTCAGCACAGGGTGGTTTTGTGTTCCTGTGGGTTTGTAAACATTTCCTGGCATGCCTGGATGGTTGACGGATGGACACTGTTCATCTGGAACTTGCTTACACCAAACCCTTTCTTTTTTAACAGCCAGAACTAGGAGGATGATGGGGCTCACCTCCCACCAAAACAGCTGCATATTTTGGGGAAAAGTATGTGGTGATGAGGAGGATGAGCAGACCTCCCTATGTACCCTACTGTTGGCATTCGTGAGTAGGGTGTGCTGGGGGAGGTCAGGGGAGCAGGGTGCACCGGGCAGGGAGGCAGCAGCAGCGACGCAAGGAGAGAGGCAGCTTTTTGTCACAGCTGCACTCAACGATCTGACTGTGCACGCGCCGAACATCACATCGAGCTGCTGCCCTGTTGCCCTCCAAGGTGGCATTTTGCTGGGTAATCAGGAGCACTGACAGCAGGAGGGTTGAGGCTCTCCCAGCATCCTGGCACAGCCGGGCACCGCAGCCCAAAGGGTCGGGGGCACCGGGCCCAGCCAACCTGTGCGCAGCACCTGAGTGTGAGGATGATGTTTTGTGGGACCAGATGTAGCTGCTCGGCGCAGTAAACTCCAGGCATTGCACACACTCGGCTCTTGTGCCTCCTTTAGCTCAAGAGATCGTGGCCAAGAGTGCTCCATGGTGACTGCCCCGTGTCTGGCTCTGCCCTCTCACAGCCATCACCCCTGTGATGGCCCCACAGAGCTGAGCCCGTGGCTGCGTAGGCAGCTCCTATCCACTCCAACACGTTCCTCAATCATGTACCTGTCTGGGCAGAGATGTCCTTTCTGTCCTCCTTCATCTGAATCACCATCGAAGGATCTTTGGTTGCCTACTCCATCAGAGAAATTTGGAGGTAGATCCAGCTGCTGTTAAAACTAATATAATAGGTGCCCTTCTCACTGGGCTGAGTTCAGGTTTTTGGAGATAAATAATAAAATGCTGGGAACCTGGTAGAGACATGGGTTTATGACCTTGTTTTTAAGAAACCAACTGCAATTATTATATGTACATCACAAGTAAATTTAACGATACGTTTTTCTTGTGATTCCAGCTTTGTTGTTGTATTCCATTTTAAAGGATGAATTTTACACCCACAGTGACATAAATCTTGATTAATTATAACTAGAGCTGATGATATTATACGCTATTCATTACCAACATGAATTTTTCTGCCTTTAAGAGCTCTGCTATATGAGAATGGTATCCTGGCACCAGTGGACACAGTTTTATTCTGTGGAAATGCCATTTAGTATCTTACTGAATTCCAGTTCCTTGTAGCAATTTTCACATTTGCTCCAGTTCTATCTTGACTTGTATCCAATGCCAGGCTGAAAATAGAATCAAATTCAGAAAAAAATAATTTGTCACTGATTTGAAAAGTCAAATACTCTGCTCCCATCTGAGGGACATGGACTACCCTAAAGGAGCTGAGAGTGGCTGGGCATGCGTTCAGAGGAGACTGTATACCCCCCAAGCACCGTACTGATTTTTCTGGAAGGAGAATTACAACATGACACAGCATTAAACTGACTTAGATTTCCACTAGATTTTATTTTCTGAACGGCCTATGTAACACATCTCTTGAACTGTAAACATTATTCAGTGAAAATTGTTTCTGTATACTTTTCTGTTCATTCAGAATTATTCCTGCTATTCTTTAAAGACCCAGCTGAAGACACATTAAAGTAAGAACATTTTTTTCCTATTTAAGTTAGAAAGCTGCTACCGGCTCGTGCCAAATAGTCTGAATTTAAGAATTGTCTTTTCCTGACAGTGGGAGAAAAGTGAACCTGAAGACAGTCGTTTAGGTTAGTATGTAGGCTATTACTTATGTCACAGAACTGCTGTAACTTCAAATTGCTTAATTGCAAGTAAATCCT